TCTCAGATAACAGTGTTCCCTGATGTAGTTTCTTCCTTTTCTGTTTGTTTAACAGATATTGACGAGTGTTCAGATGGCTTTGTTCAGTGTGACAGCCGTGCCACCTGTATTAACTTGCCTGGCTGGTACCACTGTGAATGCAGGGATGGCTACCACGATAATGGCATGTTTTCACCTAGTGGAGAATCATGTGAAGGTGAGTAAAAGGGTATCATTAATCATTTATTTGTGTTTGAGTAATGCTCGCTGTTTCTGACTTGTGCTGATATGACATTTTGCTGGGGCACTATTCATATCTAAAGCATAACTTTCATTGTAGCCCAGACAGCTTATTTTCTGGGATCATGAAAACTAAAAAAAGGGAGAACTAAAGGCTAAAACTAAACCTCATGCTATGGTTAAGGAACTGTGTGTGTGTGTGTGTGTGTGTGTTGATTATTCAGGGTCACACTCAACATTTACAGCTGGGCAAAGGAGTAGGGCCATTTTAGTACTATACTTGCTGGCATTTTCACAGCCTTCTACCACACCCTGAAAGCCCAGGAGAAGCTAGTCTTACAGAGAGGTCCTTATCTAAGACAGAATTTTCATACATGGATTAAACTTTTTAATTTGTCTCCCTTCTCCAGCAATAGGGAAAGTCCGCATGTAGCATTCTGTATTTCATGTACAGTGCAAGATGTCAATGAGACCAGTACCCCAAAGCCACTCCTTTTGGATGTCTGCACACATTGTTCATGCTGGGCCTTGTCTCAAGCAGCAAAAAGATGGTTACTCACATTGTCTTCAGTATGGATAAATGAATTGATTTGGACACTGCTTATATGCTTTATAATGTGGTGGGTATTGGATGCCAGCAGAAGTGGGATATAGTTACATACACTTTGTAGGTTGGTTTGGGGGAGATAATAAGGCCTCTCCTTTTCTGACCAATGTATTGTATTCCTGAAAAGAAAAAAGGTGTGGGGGGGCAGTATAACAGATATATAAGCACAGAATGTTCCTGAACAAGCAAGGCCCAATCCACTAGTTGGACTTCAAGTGAAAAATAACCAGCTACATCAGGGGTCCCCAACCTCTTTGAGCCTCTGGGTACCACAGGAAGCTCAGCCAATAATATGGTGGGACCGCATACACAGAGGAAGCCCAAGTGAAGGGGAGAAGAGGGGTAATTAAAAATATACTGGCAAAGAGGAATGAGAGAGAATAAAACAAACACTGGTGGCAGCTGCCACTGAAACAATGTTATTTTAATCTGCATAGCCAATCAGACCTTCAGTTGCCAATCAGAATCCCTGCTGGGTAAGAGCCCCACCTGGCCCTACCCTCTTCCTAGAAACACTTGGTGGGAACCAAGAATGGTGCTGGTGGATGTTATGGCACCCATGGGCCCCATATTGGGGACCTCTAAACTACCTGGTACACTGTAGTTTAACAGCTTCCTTCTAAGCTTATCTCTCCACCCCTTAAGATTCAGGGATAGGTGTTTTATTCCATTATTTATTGTATGTTGTGTGTTAATTTTGTTGTGTTGTGAGAGCCAGTTTGGTGTAGTGGTTAAGTGTGCGGACTCTAATCTGGGAGAACCGGGTTTGATTCCCCACTCCTCCACTTGCACCTGCTGATGTGACCTTGGGTCAATCACAAGCTCTGGCACAGCTGTTCCTGAAAGAGCAGTTTGTGTCAGAGTTCTCTCAGCCCCACCCACCTCACAGGGTGTCTGTTGTGGGGAGGGGAAGGGAAAGGAGTTTGTAAGCCGCTCTGAGACTCCAAGTGAAGGGCGGGGTATAAATCCAATCTCTTCTCTTCTTCTTCTTCTTAATTTTAAATCTGCCTTGAGTCTCAGTTAATGAAGTAAGTAAATAATGCTGTAGAGCCTATTCAGCTCTTTCATTGCCAGCTTCTCAGGCACAGTCAGAGAAGCAGATTGTAGAGGCAATCCTCACCACACAATGCTGCTGATTTCCAAGGAAGACCACTTGGGTTTGGTCTGCAAGTCTTACCACACTGTCTTCCTTTGCTCTACAAACTAAGTATATATTTTAAAAACAGCTAGCTTATTGCACCATAATTCAGTATTGTGAAGCCACGTGTAGCTGTAGGATATTTGTTTATGGGGGTCCTCTTTTCCATATCAATGCCCTCTTTTCCATATCAATGCCAGGTGGTTTACAGCCATAATCCTCTTGGACCAAAAGTGCAATTAAAATCTCAGTATAAAAAAGTAATAACAGCAGTTTTCATCAAATGGAACATACAGTACAACACTGTGGCCCAAGATAATATCCACAAGTGCCTCCTTCAAACAGATAGAACAGGATAACAAAGAACAAACCACTGAAAGAGCACAGCTCAGAAGCCTATTCTACACTGTAGAAGCAACTGGGGGAAAGATCCATGAAGTGAAAGAATTGTACTTAGTACAACGTGATGGGGCAGCTAGAAGGGGTTGTTATGCAGCTTTTATAGCATGTAGAATTACTGCATTTAGAAACAGTGGGATTTTTTTGGGTGCTATCTGTGACAAATGACATTACATGGAACAGCAGGTTAGTAGGCATGCAGCTATTTTAAAAAGCAGATTTTCTAAAATGAAACATCCGGCTTTATGTGCTTATTTATAAACTGTGAGTTATAAGTATATTATATGGAAAACAGCACAGTATGTACTACTATGGTCCATATAAATGAAATTTGAAACCTTAAATTTCAAATGTCCTCTCAGGTTTCTGATATCATTGATTCTTTCATTTCTGAGATGTCCCCCCTCCCTTCAGATTATGACGCAGAATCTGCCTGAATCTATATCTGTGTAGAATGCCTGCCTCCTGAAAGGATAGGCATGGTTATCACACAAATTCAGATTCAAGGCTTTGAACTGGAAAACCATTATTTTGGAAGGGGGAGGAATCAGCATTAAATCAGCCAGGTTATTTCCAAATAAAGCTTAGAATATTAGGACTGTAATGGAAGAGTTTTGAAATTTACATTAGGGAAATAGAAAATACAAGTGGAGAACCTGCAAGAACTTGTGGGGGGCATCTTATTTTTTTCTCCCCCACTGCTTCCTCTTTCAAACCTACCCTAAAAGCCCTTACAGCTTCTCCTCTTTTCCTGCTTCTTCTCTTCCACCTGCTAACCTACCTTTATCTGCCCATTGTCTCCAACTTTTCCTCCTTTGTCCCTCTGGCAGCCTCACCCTGGGAAAACTCTACATAGTTTCAGCTGCCGGGCTGGACCCAGTTGTGTGATAGTGGTCTCAGTTTCCTGTCAGGTTCAACAGCAAGCAAATCTCCACACACGTTTCCAGGGAATCGTTATGCTTTATTAGACTACAGGTCTGTTGCCATGATCTACAGGTATATTGTTAGGAATGACAATGGGGCTGATGCATCACTACATATACTATGATGCTGCAATTGGCTAAGCAAATGAAATCCAAGCGCACACACGGGAATTCTCCCGGCGGGAGGTTACATAATGAACAGGAGACTCTCCGTGCACCACGAGAGCAGAAATATTCACACCAGCAGTGGAACGCAAGCCCTCCCTCCTCCTCAACGTTAGTCAGATAACTCAGTCTGGCAGCGCCAGTTCGCACGGTCTCATGAGCGCCTCCCAAACGCTGTTTACAACAAACGAGCAAAGCAAGCAAGCAAGCATGCGCACTCTCGCCCCAGTCAGGAAAGAATGAACACAAGTGAAACATGGCAGCTAGCTGACATTTCCCCTGTATCCTGCTCCCCACATTATTTCCTCTTTTCAGCCTCCTGGCAGCCCCCATATCCTCACCTTTGCATGCTTACTTTTGTCCATCCCACCAATACTCCAACCAACCTTTTATATGCCCCCCATCTTTCAAGAAAATTGGAGAAATCAAGGGAACGTTCTGTGAAAGCTAAAGTCCATATGGTCAAAGCAATGGTATTTCCAGCAGTAATGTATGGCTGCGAGAGTTGGACCATAAGGAAAGCCGAGTGCTGAAAAATAGATACTTTTGAATTGTGGTGCTGGAGAAGACTGCAAGGAGATCAAATCAGTCAATCCTAAAATAAATCAACCCTGACGGTTCCCTGGAAGGCCAGATAATGAAACTGAAGCTCAAATACTTTGGCCACCAAATGAGAAGGGAGCACTCACTGGAGAAGACCCTGATGCTGGGAAAGATTGAAGGTCAAAGAAGACGGGGACGGCAAAGGATGAGATGGTTAGACAGTGTTATTGATGCAACAAACATGAAATTATGCAAACTCCAGAGGACAATGGAAGACAGGAGGGCCTGGCGTGATGCGGTCCATGGGGTGACAAACAGTCGGACTCGACTGTGTGACTAAACAACAACAACAACAACAACAACATCTTTAGGGTTGACAGTTTGGGTTGGGAAATACCTAGAGATTTTGGAGGTGGAGCCTAAGAAGGGTGAGGTTTGGAGAAGGGAGGGACTTCACTGGGGTATAATGCCATAGAGTTCATCTTTCAAAGCAGCTATTTTCTTCAGGTAAACTGATCTCTGTCATCTGGAGATCAGTTGTAATAGCAGGAAAACTCCAGCCACTACCTGGAGGTTGGCAACCTATCCATCTTAAGCGATATTTATTATTTATTTCTTTTATACTCGTCCACCTTACTTCACAATGGGAACCCAAAGTAGCTTACAGCATTATCATCTCCTCCATTTTATCGTCACAACAGCGCTGTGAGCTAGAATAAGTTGAGAATGTGAATTTGGCCTGTAGCAGGTACCCCCCCCCCCAGAAGCATTCCTTTTTAAATAGACACAGGGAAACAAAAGGTCTCTTTGCCTGTTCCAGTGCAATGCATTAATTACTAAATAACAGGGGCTAGATTGATGTAGCTGCTCAGTTTGATACCCAGTCTCTGTAGGTTCCAGCCCTCTGATTGAAGAGAAGTCACAAGTCTGAAGTTTATTTATTTCCAGGTGTCACATGAAAACCTTTTGTCCCAGCCAAAGATCACTCCTGTTTTATTTAAAACCAATCTAATAGTTCTTGAAAAGAATAAATATGAAAGCATCACAATGATACATACTTCTATATGTAAATGAAATCAGAAACAGAAATGCATGCATATAATTACTTATCCTTTATCCTATCTGAAGATTAAAAGGTAAAATACAGTTTCTGAGATTCTCACCAAAGTGCTTTCAGAACGATAGTCTCATGCAACCCACAT